ACGTTTCCGATCCGCGCGCGATTACGGTCAACTGACTGTGAGTTTTGGGTTTGAAGTCCGCTATCTCGGACCTGAATAGGGCCCTAAAGGATCAGTGAGCAACGGATATGCTCTTACCCTGGGGAAATAACCTATGCTTTGTGATTTAGATAACACGGGCTTGTGATCAGTTAACTGTTGTGTCCTATGGATAAGTGGAAAAAACATGCAATTCACTCTTCTCCAACCGCCTGGAGGATGTTTTTTCCCAGAGGCTCTTGGAACTTGCCAGCTGGTACAGTTCAGTGGATAATGGGGGAACGAAAGTATCACAGCAAAATGAAGTCTAGTTTCATCAGGATGGATTAACACAGCCTCGCACTAAGCAATTCACCCAAAGCATAACGTCAAAGCATCAAAAGCGAATTACTTCCAATCAAAAGAGCCGCGTACACATGACAACAGTGAGGGTCATTCCATTTGATGGGAGTGAGACATGGCCCCTGCATTCGATCACCGCTACTCGTGGAGCATCGCTTGCGTCGAATGGCACCCTTACTTCTGTGAGCGATTTTCTCACCGGTTATAGGATGACGAAAGTCTTATGTGTGGCAAAATTTGACCCAGTAGCGGGAAACCTAGTCACTAACAAACTGGGTGCTGTTTTTCCGTCTTGCCTTTCAGGCCGGGTTTTACGCGACCCATGCTGGACTTGGCTTGTGTACCGCACTACCAGAACGACTGCTGTCATCTAGCTGAGGTATCTACTTGAAGTGTGTCTGATGCTGAGTTATTTGTGCAACAAAGCTGGCTATGAAGCGGCGTAGTGAAGGTCGAAAGGAAACTGCAGCCCCAATGATGCCCTACTGTTGCACGACAGCCAACTGGTTGTGAGGGAGTCTTGTTGATAAGTTGTTGGGTCTCTGACAACGGATGCTGGTTTAGAGTGTTAAGGTTTCAGACTAAACCCCACTTGTGTCCTTATTAATCTTAATCATTTAGATTATCATGATTGTGAGGTAGATGTCTCAGACAAAATTAATGAGGCGTTGCTGTTGATGGTGGCGAAGATGTCGATGAGTATCAAACAACCTTAACGCAAACGCCACTGGCAGAACCATGCAATCGCAGTTATGAGATCGCTATTTCGAAATGCTATTTTTTCTGAGTTCAATGGCATAAACATTTATGCTTTTTTATAACTAGCGTGTACGTGAAGCTGGTCTCCAGTGACCACTTCCCCCTCAATGCACCCGCTAAAAACCCACGATCAGAGTGTCGAAGTGCGGTGGATATAACTGCGTGTGTAACCGTTCAGTACATACTTGTATTGCGCACCAGATAAAATGTCTCCCTTTCCAATTTCAGAACAAGTAGCTGTTGTGGGGCAAGCTGCTAAGAAAAAGCTAGGGAATTACGAAGAGCAACGCGTGGATGGTGAATGGTTCACTCAATATCATTTGCACTCAACCGCTTGACTTGACTGTGACCTGCGTTCCCGGAATATGCTCCAAGTACTCGCCTTTGATTCCTCGTTTTTCCCACTATTTGTCATTCGTGTGACTATATTGGCGCGTCCTATCGTCGTGTTTTCGCTACTACTGCTTTCAAGTCGCTGCGTTGGATAACGTGTTAATACAACTCCCCCTCCATCCGGTGGTTCGCCCTCCACGCATCACTAAAGCGCTCTTGCCCGTTGTGACATTCTATGTGATGATCCTTTAGAGCGAGCGTCAAGTCATCGGACTATATTGCGCTTCCATTCGTGTCACCATGAGAGAGGAAAGGGAGACAAACATAGAGTCAAAAGTTATTGGGGAAAATAGTTAAGACACACATTGGGAACCCTCTACGTGGGGACCAGCAACCGAAAGTAAGAGATCGGATACGGGAGAACCGCCGATTTCTATACTATGTCTCACCGGATAGGGAGTATGACCGCTAACGCGGTAAACGCGGGAGTCCCATCCAGGAGGTTAAAAAACACCAACATAATTAACTTCCGCCAACAGTTTTTTCACGCTCATTTTGAGCATAATCATCCGCGAATCGAAGTTGAGCCCAGACAAAGCCAAATCTGATTGCGACAAACCATACATATGAAGAGGCCGATGGACGCCATGTGACGAAGTCAGTTAGGAGATTCGAGATCAACGAACAGTTCAGTGTGGCACCATAAGAGCTCCCGCCAAGCATTAATTAAGGAATATCAAAATTCTGCATTCAGTGCACCAAAAAGATGAGAAAGAATGCACAAACAAAGACGACCGGAGGTAGATTGCATCGAAAAATTCTCAGAGTGGAATGGACACATCTTTGATTCACGTGGTAGCGATTTCCGTACTGAAAAAGCTTACCGTAATCTTTGAATGTTGTGGCCACTACAAATACTAAGTTTGCAAAGTTGCCTGGAAACGATACAGATTGGTAGATGAGTAAACGCTGGTGACTTTCCCATGAACATGGGAAGCAATGATGTGCCGTGGAAGTTTGGCAACAATACCCAATAAGTGGAAGGTGTGACGGAATGTGTGGTATCCTACGCCAGTCTACACAACAAAGTTTGTGAATGGGATGTGTCAAGGCACAGAACATTATTGGACGCCGAGTACAAAACCCTCAGACACCGTAGTGTGGAAGTTGGAATGGACACACATGTAAGTCGTTAGGACACCGCACACATCTGCCTCAAATATCACCCCAAACGTTGACTGGCTTTAAGCCGTAATGGAATTGAGTGAGGTCTGCTGGGAAGATAGGCATACCAAGTCTCACCCGCTGAGATGGAGAATGGATTCCCGCTGTGTGTCCTCGTGTAATTGTCCGGAAATATGAGTCAGTAGTTTCAGGAATAGCGAAGCAGGTCAAAGCATGTCAGTAGAGATGAAGACAAATGGTGTGGTTCCATGTTCAGATTCCTCGTGATGACAGATCACAAGGTGACTCATTAAGAGAATTCGGTTTCTGAAGGATGGCGTACACGGACACACTTAGCTGAAGTAGAGCGTCAACAACAGGCTAGTCCCTTCGACGAGCTGGAGAACATGTGACATGATGCACGAACCGCCCTCCTGCAAACTTCATCTCCATCCTAAGAGGGTGGATTCAATTTGCTCAACTGAAGAAATGCACCGGCTCAGTATTGTATTCATTGTTACAAAGGAAACATGAAACTAGCTCTGTGGTTCCACTGTTGCGGTGAACAACACAAAGCCCAAAGTGTAAGCAAATACGACGAGACAGCACGCCAACTATTGCTGTGCAATTATGTACATGCGAAATTTGTATCTTATAGCTCTTTTCGCATGCAAGACCTCAGCTGAAAGTATTATACAGGTAACTGTTTGCAGACATGCGTGTCGAAATCTCAGTGTCGCCCAGTTCAGTGATGTCGAGTAACGCCTTGCTTGTGGAGCACCGCACCCTAAATACCACAACATCTTAATAAAAACAAGTCCATGTTTTTTTCCTGAGCGGGGAACTTCCATAAATCGAATTTGCGCTTGCCATAAATTTCACACTCTAAAAAAGTTCAACTGCGCTATGAGGACTGTCAAAACTGATGCGATGATGAACTCGAAAAACCGACTGACCCTCAGAGCAGTACCGGTTCCCATACAGAAATACGTAGCGGCCGGCGAAATCATCGATTATGTACACATTCGAGGTACCGCAAATGCGTGCACGATGAACTGGAACAGGCATATTGCTCCACATCCACGCTCAAAAAGCCTCTGACTAGTAATAAAGATATATCCCTCATTCAAGGACTGATGACCTATACGAGGTCATGGTTTCACCGATAGGTTAGTGTACCCTTCCATGACAGGTGAAAGGTGTCTGAAGTGTGGCCTATTGGCTCACGACTCCAGGCAAGATGACAATCAATTTGGACCGTGACTACGTGTTGCAACAACCAAGGTGAATGATCCATACCACTTGTGGTTCAAATTAGTGCCCTATGTGAACCATAAATGCGGAACCCTACAATGCCATGGTAATGCCGAACAATAGACACTGGTCAACCGAAACATGGAAAAGATACTGGAAGGTAAAATTCAGCACAGAAGAAACTCAAGTATCGAAACCCAACGGAGTTAGTTGGAACCAAAGCAACAGATGCAAAGCACAACATCCTCCACGAACGCGTCATGACAGAGTCCCCAACCGATGAAATGGTGCACAGTGTGGCATCTATACAAGCGGACGACAAACACCAGTCCGATCCAGATGCTCGCACTTCGTTAGTATGTCATTAACTGGCAGGGAAATAGGTGACCGAGATGTACAACAGGAAGGGGTTCAAGAATCGAGAGCAGTGGTTAGATCGGATAGCTCAGGGGACGCATGTCAACAAAGATGGGACGACGAAACTCTAAGTATGAGCGATGCTGCGTAATCACAAAAGGCCAACTCATAGTAAGCACAGTGTTCGCAGTATACACACAGAACTGATCGCAATGACAGTGGTCGCATCACAGTGCTGTGTAAACTGGAAACAATGAGATGATGTTTCGCCGTCGTCACGGATGTGACTGATGCACCGTCTAGACGGATCGTTAGGAGTTCACTCCCACGAATATCAGTGTATACCAAGGGGGTGGGCAGTAACAAAGTCGAGTGATACGACTCGGACGTTCTAGGCTCTTAATCTCAGTGCGTTATCAGCCTCCTTTTCAAGAGCTGAAGACCACATCTTCACAAGCTCCACAATAAGCCCACCGTACTCAACAGATACATACATCAAAAAACAGCAGTACTACACTAAAAGATAGGTTGCTAAAGTGGTGTGATTTCAACATTTAGGAAATAGTCCACTTTGCGTTCCGTGGCTAAATGCTGAACAAATTCAACTAGAAGAGATACGATGTTCCTCAAGTGGCGCGCGCATGCGCAGGTGAAAACTAATTCGCTGATCCATTCAGACGAGTGATATGATTCGTGAACGAACGTTATCTAAAAGTGCACCCGAAGGAGAGGTGGCAGACAGCCTAAATGGATAAGCCCAGAACTCTGCGCGACTAGCAAGGCTGTAAAGCACCAGCCACAGAAGGAGCTCGAATTTGCATCGCACGGTGTCTGTCAATCGATTCACAAAGCAAAATAGCGGAGTCACGGCAGCTAACAGAAGCCTGAGAATGGGAGAGATAGCTGGGACAGAACATATCCTAACACGTTGAATGAGAAACTGGGACGTAAATCAACAGAGGTATGCCTGAGGAGGAATTGTTCGGTGTTATCAACGTGAAGCATTGCTTGGTACTTGTAGTGCAGGAGAACGAAAGGAGGAATTGCTCGTTCTATTAAAGGTGTCCAGCTAAGTCAGCGGTAAGGCAGTTCATGACAAATAATGACCGCAAAATTTATCCCGGTCCAGCTGTTCAACTGCGCTTCGAGTATTATCATATGGTACAGCCAGATTGGAGGGTCATCTTGAAACCTCGTTATGTGAATGGATTGCAATGCTGACCGCGATTCACATTGCAGTGAACGTGGGCCACTTCGATCAGTGTGACCCTAACCGTTGTGCCAAGCGTTGCTCGTCGTGAACCGGTGGCCGGAGGGGTAGAGGTTTCGGCTAACAATTCAATGATCCAGGGCCTCGATGCTTGCTGTCTCTACCCGATGAGATCAAACAAGGTTAAAACGCGTATTGGAGTGCAGTGTTTTCGGGCGGGCAACACTCAATACGAATATGGTATGACCAGTCAGCATGACTCGCGTCGTCATAAAGCCACAAAGTTGCAGAGTCTGAAGGAATGAAGGAAGTGTAGATGTATAAAATATTCCAAAGTAAAATAGGTTAGAAAAAAAGCAGAATCGGCCGACCGAAAAGGGGACAGTAAATAGGACACTCACTCGGAGTGACTGTTCCATATAGGACCGCCGATGTAGCCGAGACTTGGGCCCTCTCCAATTAGATGGTATGCAGCATCTCGACTCGAACTTCATGTAACTCTTATGAGATGATCGACGACTTCGAAATTGATAGATATGTGAGAAACATGATTGAGCCAACGAAGATAAACTGAGCTCAGTATGTAGTCCGGTGGGTTACCATAATGTCTGCTGCAGATCACCAACAATCGGGTTTCACTAGTGCCTACTGAGTACTTCAGCCAGATAGGAGTACTACCGTGTATTATTGGTGGTCCAATGCGATTCTTCTTCGACTGACTTCAGGACATGGTTGTCAGGTCCCTGACCCATATAAGAAGAATGGGAACAGTGCTACCCAATACACCTTGAATCTAAACGACAGGCTGATATGGTGTCGTCTCTACAAATGACCGAGATACTGGAAAACGTCCATGTCACGCTGGTGCGCACAGTAATCACCTCGGTGGCACGAAGACCCGACGTGATGCAGTCAGTTTGATAAATGAATCGATCAATCTCCCAGAACGGTTGGTGGGGAACTGGAAGAATTAGTGAAGTGCAAGCTTGATACTGCAGTTGCCCATGAGGGCGACCCCATCAGTGGATAGACGAGATAAATGTTAGGTTTATTCGGTCCAGTCAAACTGGACAACCTGCTGCCCCACCGAACTACCAACAATACTTTTGTCTAGACATAGAGACACCATGCGCGTACGCGACGAAAAAATCCAGACTCTCATATCAGAGAGTGGTGGAAGGAGAAATTGTTCGAGGAGGAGCCGACACGGCCGCGGTCAGTGCACAACCAGGGAAGCACCAGGCAACCGTTCCACTCCTTCGGAAAATCGTAAACACTGTGTATTGCTGGCCGAGTGTGGTTGTGAGGAAGTAAATCTGAAAACTGTATACTAAAACCCAAAAGTGCAGAGCATTTATGCACCTATGACAGACTGTTATGGTAGCAAATCGGATAGGTTGGGATACTTCTCAGCCAATAAATGTAGAAAAGATGCCCGATCGTGTGACGAACATCGGTCATCGGTGCATTCAACGGAATACCTAAATGCCTTGGTATTGTATACTTTAAGAGAGTAATACATGGTCTAGATTATCCAAAAATAGCTCATCATAGTGAGGTCCAAGAGGATAGCAGTCGGGCAAAAAAGAAACACAGGAGTCGCATAGTCATTGTGAGGTACGTAAGCAAAGTGCGTCTTTGCTTGCTTGTTTGTGGATCGGACTGTGACAATGGTTAATTACTCTGAGTTCATGTGAATGCAAAAGGTTTCCTCGATGCACATCACCATCATCTTCATGCCAATGGACTCAAATGGATCACGGTTGCAGACCAGACTGGTCAGCACAGCAAGCAGTCAAGCGAGCAAAGGAAGAGAACGGAGATGTTCGCCTCCGCTGAAGGGTGTAAAGTGGTGCATTGCCGTACTAGTCGCGACAAAAAGCTTGAGATGATTCGCGATATGTACGAGTGCATTTGACCTTGTACACTATGGCACAATCGCAACCATTGGACCAGCGGCTGAAAAGCAGGTCATTAGCTTGGGCGCACACGAATAGAGGAGAACCGAGTTGTGGATCCCTAAAACACGATAGAGGTACTGGCAGTATACGATGACAGATAAGTGTCACAGTGAGTATCCTTGAGGTACGGGTGTCCGGAAAGATATCTGCTCGATTTTCCCGTGATTGGTTTCCAACACTGCAAATCAGTGAAAACAACTATGGATTCAAACTCAACAGAAAAAATGTAATTCTTTATGAAGACTTACCTCATCCCGTATTAGATCGAATAGATGGACCAAATGGGACATTTTGCGACTAACAGAGTAGGTTGATTGAACCTGACGGAACAGTGCCCGGACACGCTGCAAAAGCGGTTCGGTGGGGACTCGCAAGCTGGACTGTGAGTTCGGGAGATAGAAATAAAATTGCGGATAATCAACGCGAGAGGAGAAGGGTTGCAATACAGTAACGTGATTTGTCATTTCCTGTCGCGAATCTATTAGGTTAATCAACTCACTGCCGATTTAATGTCGATTCCAAACAAGCGATGAGAAAAATCAACCGCAGTACAGTGGTATCGGAATGTTTATGGTGAATGCAAGCCAGCATCTCCCGCAAATCTTACTGGTTGCTGCACAATCGGATGCGCACTATTTTACGCTTGTCGAAACAAAGTGGACGAGTGGGGGTGATATGTGGCAAAGGTAACAAGTGACGACACGTGTGCAACGCGAACTCACCGGAATACCGAACTCCTGGGGTGATGTGGCGCCAAGCCACTGCACAGTATTTTGAAGTGGCCCAAGTTCATTGTGTCTAATGAGGCAAAAAGTGCAAACAGATGACAATGTTAACAGGTGTAAAGTGCGAATTTAAGCCACCACACAATCTGAGTCAACCAGATGGCTAGCTCACAGCTGGGAAGACACGGAGTGCTGGTTTCGACGTCCAGGTATACGTCAACAGTCAACAATCCATCTGCCCTGTGTGAGGCCAGAATCCATAACCCTACTCTTACCATTTCACTGGCTAGGACTACTGGACTGCGATACGGGTAGGGTGTAGTGAACGGGGTAATATCAAGAAAATGGTTTGAAGTCACTTGATAAAGGAGTGAGGTTGGCTGAGTTAATTGCAATCCGGAGCAAGTCTGTGAAGTAAGAACCTCAGAGGAACTGCAGTCGGATAGGGGTGGAGGTTGGTAGTTAGATCAGATACTGACTCAGTGATTGATATCAAGGAGGAGGCGGTGACAAAACAAGTGATGAAGAGGGGTGTTCACACTATATGGTTAGGGTTAAGGATATTGTGAAAGTATGTAATGACATCCCCTCCCCACCCTCAAGCTCCAGTGTAACCGATCTCTGCTGAGTTCGTGTCGAAGGTAGCTAGACTCCCCACACCCCATAGGCGATCGATCTGCGCCGCAAGCCACGCTGCTGCATGTGAGTCTGCGTTCCACAGCCCCCTAGCGTCGCATTCCGTGCACTCATCTGATGTGTTATTGACTGGTTTGGAGTTGGTCACTCAACGATCGTTTGATACAATTTGATAGCGGTAAGGAGGAATATAATTTCCTCAAGGAATTATTTGAGCATGCTATGGAATCAATTAACTGAGAAACGTGATACGCTTTAAAGGACTCCAGGTTCGAGTTCCAAATCCGACTATCGTTACCGGATGACCTCAAGTAAGGACATAAAGCCTATATCATTTCTCAATTGATTGCATCCTTAACGCAATCGTTTTCATCCGTAGTGCAGCAACTTGGATCCTCAGCTCAAAAACTATAATCCGATAGTCACGAAAATTGCATCCACGACGCCCTGAGTGGTCAACCGCTGTCAGTTAATGGCATTCGGACAATAAGCTGGCATGGCTGTTTAACCTAGACGCAGCATAGAGCCATCGATTGATGCCCTTCTGCACGGAGCCCAGCCATCCGCTCGTCTAGATGCGCGCCAGCGTCGGACAATAAGGGGTTAAAAGCAGGGACTTGCTCACGAACTGGCTCGAAACCCAAAACTCTGGTTTGTGAAGGTAAGGCCAAGTTAGTACAGTTCCGGATGAATGCAGTCGTGGCAATGAACATGTCCGGAACACGGGATAACGCCCCCTGGATTTATCAAGCCCGTTGAGTGTGTAGACGAGATGTCCGTTTGAGGCTTTGGGGTTTGAAGCCAGCTCATGAGTAAGTCAATGCTTTTACCCCCTTATTGTCCGATGCTGGTGCGCACCTAGATGAGCGGATAGCTGAGATCCGTGTAGCATGGCATCAACCGATGGTTCTATGCCCAGCTGCGTCTAGGTTAAACAGCCATGCCAGCTTATTGTCCGAATGCCATTGACTGACAGCGGTTGACCACTCAAGGCGTCGTGGACGCAATTTTCGTGACTACAGGATTATGGTTTTTGCGCTAAGGATCCAAGCTGCTGCACTACGGATGAAAGCGATTGCACTAAGGGTGTAATCAATTGAGAAATGGTATAGAGTTAGGAGTGGGTAATACTTCGAATTTATCAAGTACACATGGTTATCGAATACGATTGATGAAACACCGTTATTATCTAACTGTCAGAGGAGCTTAACAAATCCGCCAAGGAAGAACCCAACAAGCGACACACACAGGATCTTCGGCTCTGGAGTCAGGTGTCTACCCCGAAAAACCCTGTACTTAATGGTGAACACTCAAATCATGCCAATTCGCACGCCATTTGAGCACGGCACAGTCGGTTCCCCGGGGCCTGACGTGACCCAGGGGTGACACGCCCGCTCGCGACGGCCATGTGTGGTCCAACATTAGCGTCACATGTTATTCGACCGCTTCGTATGAAGTGACCTGCTCTACCAAGCTCCAGTTGCTACGAAACCGAAACGATCCAAATGAGGATTCGACTTGGGTGACGTAATAACGATCGACAACTCACTCTGGAAGAATCGCACAACTGGTTACGGTGGCCGGCTCATGAAATATCAGTCCTAGTGGCGCACCGGTGAGGCTGATGTGAATCTGTACGTACGCCGCCACACGAGTTGAAATCAGGCTGTCTGCATATGTAGTGACGCGAGATGGAACGCCCATCAGAATAACTTGGAGAGCTTCAATCGCAAACAGAAACATTACAGCAGAATAACCTATATTCAGTACATTTCGTGCATTTTCATTCCGCCGTTTAGATAGTACTGGTGAACATTTTTAAACGAAAGGGAGTGGCAAGTAAGTCTATATCTAGCTGTTAGTGTGTCTATAGAGGAAACCACGCCAAAGCAGCGCAACACCAGCTACAAGGTGAAGTCGCTTGCATAGATTTGGCTTCAGACGCCGGATTGCGGAAGTATCAGCGAGCCGTATCAGCTTCGGAGTATTTTGTCTTCCCATAACTTTGAATGCCCTGTAGGGGGAGGGTTTGACACATTACGCAGTCCATCTGGATCCGGGCAACTGAGCTAACAGAAAAGTTAGCATCAGTCAAAGCTATATTCCGCGAGAAGTGCGCCGAATCCGGGCTGGCATACTTCTTCAAGTCCGGCCGATGTACATGCTACTGCATATACAGTTAAGATGGTTGACGCAAGAGACGGTAAGTTAAGGATGAGGCCTGTTTAATTGGTGCGGTAGGCTTCTGCGATAGTGCAACAACACGAGCTCAGCTGCAAAATAGTATCATTTTATGGACTAGCATAAGTGATGGTAGAACCTTACATCTTTTTGTTTCCCCTTATAGGACAGTGCAATGGAGAACCTTCTCTTAAGAACCCTAATAGATTTTTATTTTCTCACTATCCCTCCGCCATAACTGGCAATAAATTTATTGGGATAGTTGTTAGCGTGTAAGGTGGATGTAGTTCCTTCTCAATCGACTCTTCCGAACAGATTCGCCGGGTTTTCACAACAGAAGCACGGATCAACGGCCAGTTGTAGTTCCTGGGGCAGCAGTTGTTGAAATTCAGGTACTGATCCGTCAAACTCGGCTTATGGTAAACCGATTTGATGAGTTAGTCATCGAAGTTACTCCGCAAGACTATATTGAAGAAGTAACACAAATCTGATAATTCGTCCCCCATGGTGGATTTTATCTCTGGATGACAACTGTTGAATGAGTTTAGCATGTTATCCGTCTGCTGGGCGCCATCAGCAATCACAAAGGTGAATTCAGTGTAGCGGCCGTAAAACCGTGCTTCATGTATGGGCTTACATAAGTTAGTACTCTCCAGATGGATCATGAAGATATCCGTTAAACTGGGTCCAAGTGGGCGACCCATCTATACGCTCTCAAGTTGCTGGTGGTGGTTTCCATCGTAGCAACAGTGAACATCTTCTGTGCAGATGCGAAGATCTGTAGTCGATGTGCTGGGACGCCCACTATATCTGAGTGTCTGTCCATGACATCCAACATCTTCCCCAAGGGGAGATCAGTAAATAGTAAACAGGCGCAGAAGGACACCATGAGTTTATTGTTCACGCCTGTTCCAGAACTTATTTAAAAAAATTAAAGAGAATTTTTTAGAGTACACACTGCTAGCTCACGCCCGATGGACTCAACAAGTTGAACTAGTCATTGCGCTAACTTACGGCACGACGATGTCATCAATGAAAGCAGTAGATGCAATAGAATGCCTTCTTTTGTGTACTTTCGGCAATTCCTACATCCAAGGAAGTCTTGAATTACGAGGTCACAGTTGGGTTACCGCTTTAGCATCGATCAATCTTTGTACAGTCTTTGTAGTACATGGGTTAGGTTACTTCAATTTTTCTTCGCTCTAGTAAAGACATCTTGTATGGTATCGCGGTGTGGTAACCTAAATACGCATCACGCTGATAACTGGTCATTTGTACAGGGCGAAGAACAGCTCTACTGTCGCTGGAGAGTTACATGCGATTTGCAGTATGTCTGAGGTTCGTCGCAACAAGAGTAAATATTCTTCAGCTGACGAGGGGTGACCGACAAAACGATTCAATGGACTAGTTGTGTAGACAATAGTCCCATGCTGGACTACGTGGGTGCTTGAGGCTAGCACAATCCTTGTCGGCCAGTTGTCGAAAATATTACACACTTGGCTTGCAGTCCGGAGGTCAACAGTTCGCATTCGCGTTGGGTGCGGACAACCTCGTGGTACACGAAGCCCACACGCGAATGTTGTTGGTCGAGTGGCAGGGAAGCGTCGGTACGGTGTGCGGGTATAATGCTGATGCCTTAATGCCTTAATCACTGTACTTAAGACCATCTTACTTGAGATATCAGCGGAAAGAGCACTGAATCGTAAGAGCTAAGTTGGGCCTAACCTAAAGCACGAATGGTGAAGTGGCTCACATCTACTCCATATTAGAGCGATCGTAAAAGTGTGCTAAATTTCAGTTAGTTAATAAAAATACCGAATAAACAAGCTTGCTCTTCATTGCACATCAACTGAAAGTATACATGATTGGAAGAGGCACACCGGAAGCTACATGGTATCGTTCGTCCAAACTTCGTCTGGGATCGCATGACGAAGATGGTCGCATCACTGTATCACATCGTAACTGGTAACCTTGTCAACCAGCACCTATGCTAGGGATTGGTGGGGTCTATTGTCAAAAGATGTACAGTTACTTATCTGATAAGATCCAACTAAAGCGTGCAACACTGCACTTCAGAGCCGCCTATGTGGTCTCATGCAACGCGGGGATTGGATGTTGCGAAATCTACCGGAGCTCGAAGATAAGCCATATGCAAGGTTATCGTGACGCGGTAATAACGCCACACGACTACGAATGTAAGCTTGATGTGCGAAAAGGCTTAGGGTGTAGGGAAGTGGACTATCGTGGAGCTGGCATACACTGTAGAGTACAACATCGCAACAGATTGCATAGCTAGCGTTATGCAATTCAGAATCGATGCAGGAGCCTTGCACAAAAGTAATGAGGTCTGATGTAGCCTCCACTAACAAACAGCCTACCAATGAAGAAATGCAAGCTGTAGGTGGAAAATTCTTGCTTCTCCAGACTGGCTATACGCCCCGGGTAAATGTGTGAAGCCAAGAGTAGAATGCAGTTTAAGATTTACTCCAGACGCCTGGGCCATGAACAAGTGTTACCATGGTGCATGCCATGGCGAATGTCACTCACTCTCTTTCTCTGTCTATACATTTATTTATTTATTTATTTATTTATTTATGCTGTGTTGCAATTATCAGCCCTAATTTTATCTAGTAACAAACATACATGCGTGAAATGTGGTGGAGTACAAGTATCCCAGTAAAAACAACAACAGGTCAAATGAATTGTGGGAAAGACCCCGGAGGTAGGTGGCCTACTTCCGCTCACCTGATTTGCTCCTGTCTTAGCTGTCGAATAATGTGTCGGTGAAGCGGACGGAGGACGTATTTTTGCAGGGAAGATTCCAGCAGGGCACCCACGTTTACGAAGCCAAAATCTGAAAGCTAAGCAAAACAACGATCAAACTGGGAATGGCGCTCTCCATCGGTTGGAAGCTAAGCCAGAAAAGTGCGAGTGCGTGCGTGCGGGCGCACATCGACAGTTTGTAGAGAATAGGAATCCTTGATCAAATGGGTTGCCAATGATTGACTATGGAAGCCCCCTATAGGTCACTTTGATGTGCAAACAAATCAGGCAACGAGATTGCAGGAAAATATATGAGATGTTCGGACAAGTGTGTCCGTTGGATGCGTGTGACCTGAAGTTTGGTATGGAGGGAAAATGTTGCTACAAATTTGGCTGTACCTGTGGCCGTGCCAGTAAGTTACACACAGGGCAGGGGAAAAACAGGAATCGAGTAGCGAGTAGGGTGCGTTAGTGAACAGCAAAGATCAACGGACGAAGGAAAAAGAATGCGCCCTGATAGAGAAGGGTTGATTGTCTTGGCTTCCGATAATTTTTAGGGAAAAAAGCCTTAAGATTAGTGGAGCAAGACACAAGGAAGAACAAATTAGTGGCACTGAAATCATCGAGACAAAGCGTGTTGTGCTGCAACATGGTGGAGTAGATGGGCCTTACTCAACAGGGTTGAACGTCGACACTCGGAGGTTCGGCGGGCTATGACATTAGAAATTCAACGAGTCGCTTCCAAGAAAGTATAGATTTTGACAAATCGCACCGGGGTTATTGACAAGGCGAATGTCGTTTGTAGTTAACCTCACCTCCATTGTTATGATTATCACCAACAGCTAGGTAGCAGGAAGAGCCGACGACTCACGGTCCTGATACTGCAAGCGATGAAACAACCACGATTAAAAGCAGCAGAGAGAGGAAATGATGGGGGATCAAAACAAAGGACCCCAATAGCAAATGGTACCATATTTTCCTCCTGAAGAAGTCATGCATCGTGTAACGAAGGGTCCACTTTTGATGTCAGTAATTTCTTCCCTGATCAATCTTGCTACAAATAAAATTCAACGAGCAATCAATTTAGCTAATAACACGATCATTAGAACGCCTATGGTAGTGCCTTTAATGAATTCACCGGATTGGTCACGCCATTCACAGCGATATAATCATGCTCAAATGTTGAATGTAACCGTTATTCAGCACTATGTATAGCACCGCGACGCCAGTAGCCGTTTCCTCTCTCGAAACTTTCAGGAACCAAGTCAGAGAGATGCTGAGTCAATGTTGAATCCCACGCCACCTTGAGGATTGCTGAGTTAACGCAAATGTGGGCAGCATTGGGGTTGAGAACCACCCAAAAGAATCCTCCCAATTGAGAATACTCTGAATAACCTTAACAACTAAATGTTAACCAAGTTCAAAAAGAAGGCAGAACGAACTACGATGGTGGAAGTAAACAACACTGGAAACTCTTCTTGATGGAACTCTATCCGTAAACCTTGATGCCATGCATATACAGTGATTCAATCCTACAAGGACAAACTGAATAGGCAGACCTCCGCTATGAGAGAGCTGTTGAAGCCGCCGCACACATACCTTCAATGGTGTCACTATGTGAACAAGTGAAGTTATGAATCAGCTTTTACTGGATGATAAGGGAGGAAATAGATGGGGTCGTGAGTTCACAGTGATGACGACGTAGAGCGCACGCTGAATGATATAGTTATCACGGACGGTGTGGACAAAGTGCACGATGTCGCTTTGCGATCAGACGCGTGATACTAGCAGCAGAGTCTGTAAGTAGTTACTCCTAGAGGTAAGCGATTCCGGTGCCTTAAATGCGGGCGTTGACAGGAGATGCCATATAAAAAGCTAGTTCCGCCGTTCCGCGGAAACTGGACAACAACAGAGAGTATCAACAGATGCAGACAATTTTACCGTGAGGTCAGTAACGTCTCGAATAATGGAGTGCATTGCCACCAAGAAAAATGCCCAAGTGTTCAAAACGGTTACATAAACACATTGCATGTCCGTTGATGGTAATTTGGATAAGGAACTGTGAATGGTGCAGAGGAAATAAGTTGAGCGTGTTTCAGGCATGGGGAATAGAAGAAAACATATCAACCGTAACGACGCTTCGTTGCCAGCCAACCGCCACCAGTCGCGCTTGGGCTAAGGATACTATAAGGGCCACCCGATCCCCTACGCGGGCTCGAATCGGTGACGTCCGAGTTGTAAGGCAGACGTTTTGTCCTTACAGCCACCGGACGGCATCGGAAATACACGATGATCGACTTAGACACCGCGATTAGTAACTTGGTTACACCTCCAGATGGTAAAGTCTGGAGATAATCAGTCTGCCTTGTAATCTTGCGGCGCAGGTTCGAGTTTGCGTAGGGACAGGGTGACCCTAGCAGTATCCTTAACCCACGTGCGACCGGTGGTGGTTGCACGACAGCGAAGCGTCGGCACTGCGTACCGGCGTACTGCTGATGCCAGAAGGTAAAGCGGTGTGCAATGCAGTACAAGCTGCACTCAAATCACGTATCCAACGGCTAGAGAGCGACCACATTTAGCGGCGTGTTAATGTATTCACTTGTGATGCCTAGCCATCTGATCGGGATGCATGGAACCGCACCAGACCATGGTCCCATCACGCCTGGTGGAGTGAGGGGAAACCTGTTCAGTACGGGCCGATCAGATATGCATAAGGCAACAAGTTCAGCAGCTACTACAAACGAGCAAATGTGAGAAATGAGCTCCAATGATCCATGATGATGAAGTGGTGGACTTGAGGCATTAGTACGGTTCGCAATAGCGAAGTTCGGATACTAGCCCCAGGTTGTGCTAATACTCCCGTGTTGTAGCAAAGAGATAGCTCGGCTGACTACTCACAATAGGGTGAAGATTCCTTTTTATCACACATTAGTCTTGTCAGAAATACTAAAAGAGAAACGAAAAAGCAAGAAATGAGCACAGTGGTGGTTTCACACAGAGGGGACAAAAACTCCACAAGTTGCCAGTGAAAAGAGCAAAAGTGGTCGCCACTGACGTCGCCACCGCACCAAATCTGGCAGGCTCTCTAGTCATTGATTCAATCGATCCCAAGCACCCCATCCAGGAAGAGGACGCAAGAAAATAAGACTGAGTCTTTCGATAAGATTCATCGTTCCCTTTTTCCATGTCACCAGGCAGCCCTTTACCATTCGACTTGCTCGCAAGTGTCTACGGACTGGTCAGCGTAGGTATCCCTGGTTTGACATATATTCCTGTGTGGCACCACAGAGAAGATCGTTGAACTTCAAGTGACTGACTTAACACTACTCATCCGACGCTTCTACGAGCTAAGGGTTATAAAAACGGAAGGCATATAGAATACCGATAGGGAAACAAATTAAAATCAGTATTATGCGGTCATATAATGATGCGGGAGTGACGAGACTGGGAGACCGTTCATAAAACGCATTCCGCTGGAACTAAGTTCGGACCATGTCCACGAATGCTGCCAGCAACAGCTATTAACCATCTCCGGAAGAGCAACATGGCACCATTGGAGATCCACCAACGCAGGCCTAACGTTAAGCAATCATCATTTGTCAGACACGAGTCAGTGCATACCCATTGCGTAAACAGATAGGTTAAATGGGGAGTTTGGTGATCCGCACCACGTGTGTGGAATCCCCATGTCCAGCAGCGCGAGGATTTACTGTTGTAAAGCTGTCCGCGCATCTGTGCCTCAAGATGAGACGCATTCAAACAGGACGGAGTAGGTAGGGGTCATATGAAATACTTGTTGCGTAGGTGGATTTCAACGTAAATGTGGACTGCGATTTCCACTGAAGTGAACCTCGGTCAGTACGATCACTAGGACCGTAACTGGAGCAGATGAAAATTTGGTGTTGTCCGCTCGAAAACACTGCACTGCACGACCTGCCGGTTTGAGGGAATGCAGGTACATTGACCGGGGAAGGCCCGAGGTCGTCTGTGTGCTGATAAGTATCACAGAGGGCGGACGGTGAGGAGGAATTCCTACATATTGTGGGGATGATGACACCGTGCCATGAGAATAAGTGAAAGGGTGATTGGGTTACTCCATGATTTGAAAATGAAGGTGAAAAGAAATAGCGTAGGGATGAAGTGGACCAGTGTGAGCAGTCGCAGTCACAAGACAAAGAAAGGGTGGAACATACCTGTCGTTTCTCTAGCTCGATCGCCGATGGAAGGCCAAGTTTCGGATTCTGCAGTAGATAATTGGTGATACCACTAATGAACTGACGGACCTAAAAGCGTAAAAGCAGATCAAAAACCGTAACACTCTTCAGCATGATATAAATGTGTACATGTCTAACGGCACACGGATGAATCGGCCCGTGGGGACAAAGTAGCCAGATGAGAAACCAAAGAAAACAAAACTGTTCGTCAACTCTTCCTTTTGAACACCAATCGATCGTGAGGGGAAAAGAGGACTTGATCTAGTTTAACCCAGAAGTAGGGACTACCTCAGCCTCTCTGTTATTGCGGCACCTGTTTCATTCTCATTAGAAGAGCCCGGGGAGTGAAAGCCAGGATGGAGTTTGGACGAGGGATTGTACATAACCATCCGGTCAGCTAAACCAAATAAGTATTCCGAGGCGTACAAGCTGCGAACAATGCCCACTTGTCTTGGCTCATGGTAAATAGGTAATCAATAAAGGGCTCAGTCGTGACTACGATGTACTAGAATATGCAAAAAACGCTAATACCTCCCCTGTGTACCGCTGATCGCTCCGTAATTTGGAACGCCCTACGCTTGTGTGGAAATGAGCTCATCTATTCACCTATTTGGTTAGCATTTAGTTATTTATAAAAGAGAAGAGTGACTAGAAGATACCTACAGCAGAAGCCTACAGCTTTGAAGCAGTTGCTGTGGCAGCATCTATTGTATCGGTTCTGGTGATGCTGATGAGGAAGAAAATGCCCAATCGGGACCATAGTAATCGGCGACGTATGATTTCCTCCTGTGCTTGAGCTAGATTGTGCCCTCTGGCTTGTGAATAGGAGGCAAGGAAAGTGGTCAATGAAGCATACGAGCGAAATTGCGTCAAAGACGCAAGTTTAATCCTCGATGTGATGGAACTATTTTAACAAGGCATTGGGGCCATAATTCGGTCAACAAACATCTGGATCCAGAGACCACCTACGAAGTGCTGCAAAGTGAAACTCACGATGTCGCATAGGCCGGCGGCGAAACATTTGCAAATAGACCATTCATGTCGGAGAACAACTCAGCACCCTCAAGCGAATCCCGAGCTAAAAATGTGCCAAAAAATTACGAAAGTATCAGAAGGTATCAGTTAGGGAGGCATGATCAGACATCCGTTGTCTGCGTGGATGGTAATCCATCTAATAAACAGTAAAAGATTGAACGTCGTTGCCAAGTCAACCATTGCAGGGTGTTTTCATTGGGATAGAGCTGAGCGAACACAAAGTACGCAGAGGTTAAATCAGTTGATGGGGCCCAATTCCATTCTGTAGCCACATCACAGAGACAGAGGTGTTCGGTCACGCGCAACGGAATGATATATATGGTCATCCTAACAAATCCCGCTCTCGTTGGTTCCGCGGAAGTCATGCTGAGTGCGATTAGACTGTGACCGCGAAATCACATCCAAGACATACGTCAGGGTCGACATGCTAGAATGGGTCTTTAGAAACCCTAATGATGAAACCCAAGCTTCAACAATATGAGGTTCGCTATTCCCTTAGAAACAGGATTCCATTAGACTAACCTTAGCATCGTAACCGCCTAGTTGTGACACACTGGGCTCATTGCTGTTGTTTCGCAACAAACGGCATGGAATAACTTATGCAAGACTCAGTTCTTTTCCTATTACGCCGCAGAACCGTGTAATGGAAAAGCTTTCCCCTTCTATCCGCAGCGCCAGAAACCGCACAAAAATGTTTCCGATATGCCTTCGATTCATAAATGGAGTCTGGTATTACTTTTTCTACACGACATTTCTCTAATTCAGTTCCTAGTTCTTTAACTTCTATGCATAAGAGAATTAGTTGGTAAATAGGTTAAGTTAGATATGCAGAATTAGACTAATTGCTAGTTGATCGGTCCCATTTGAATGGTGCATAGCCAGACCACACTGATTAATTTAGATCAGTAAACACCCAAACATGATTTCGCATGCTGTTGCTGATTAACGACCAATTAGAAATAGAAGGCCATATGTAATTATATTTGCTTTGCTCGTGCAACTGTCTACTAAGTAATTGGTAGGTTACATAAACAAGCTTTTTCCTTAGCTTTTATATAGTGCTTCCTTTCTACTACACAGCTAGGTGAAAGGCATGAGTGCCTGCAAGACATGGACCTACTGAAAGGGTGAATTGTTGATGGTCTGCAACTAACCCACCAAATTTATGTACGCAATTCCATTTGCCTTGTGTTATCACATCTTACATCTTGTGTGGGGTATGTCGTTAATTCTAATTAATTTATGTTTCATGATGGATGCAGTTATCAGTTTTGCTGTCTGTCGTGTTATCAAGTCGGCTCACACACTTTCGCTATTTAAAAATTATTGTTATCTCCCAATGTTATGAAGTGTTATCTTGCATTTTGCATTTACATATTGTCACTCGGCTTCCAAAACTTTGTTATTTTACTTTCTTTTCCCAACCATCCGCCTAAACATAGCTGAACGTTTTGCAATTGTCGTGGATTCCGACGAGTTTTGAAACGAAAGCAATGGAGTAAGAATCAATGGAGTTGGAACCACAAGTGTTTTTATACAACAATTTTGTAAAACCAGTTGCATTTCCTTTGTACCTATGCTCAGACCAGCTTAGCCGGGCCGTGCCTCACCCATTTGTGAATATACCAATTATAATTATAACTAACTTTGCAGGGAGTAGGTACTAAGCATGTATGCGAAGAAAGCGGTGGATGCTGTGCCCCATGCACAGATAAAATAAGGGATCTGAATCTTATCACGATGTGACGACGGATGCAAAAAACAACTCGGTGGTATCTAATTGAGGAAAACTATGCACCCTAATGCAAACAGAGATGCACATGAGCTGATGTGGTGATACAGCCGGATTGACTCTATAGTGCCAGGAGGCTGTTGGTGAAGACCTCATCTTAGATCAGAAACACGTCGCTCCTAGATCACGCCATTTTCGTCACAATTTTCGTGTTCACTACACGGGAACGGTCGGGGAAAAGTCCTTGTGTGGATAGCCAGGGCGAAAAACATGGCTCATTCGGATCATTAGAGGCCGAAATCGCCAGTTTCAGACGATATTCATGGACCCGAGCCTTCCCAGGCTAAACCACAGTGCTGCAACCCTGAAGTGAATCTGCTGAACATCCCTCTTCTAAGGGTGAATGAAGGACATTCTTGTCTAATGTGTGTAGCCCATAGTTAGCCTCCGAACAGCCACATGTACACACGTGTCACATACTAATGGCCGTGAAACAACAAAGGGTGGGCGAATTTAATAAAAAGCCAACTAGCGCGCACTGGTTTGGTCTGTCTTAGAGGAGGCCTTAATCCCTTGTGCAATATGATTTACTATACGTAAAAAAGTGGCCTGATACACGACAAACTGGTGACTCACAGATTGCATTGTGCGGTACGGCCCCTGGTTAACGCTGTTTCGTGTGCATTCCAAGAACAAATTGATTTGATTTGCCAATGGGCTCGACTTTTCCCGCATCAGACTACAAAGGGAAGAGGGGGGAGGTGAACAAAGCACGGACGGCTGAGGCAGGAAACGACGCCGGTAAATTAGAGAGACAAAATGGCATCGATCTGAATGCTTGAAACCATTGGCGAACCGTGTGAACAGTAGTTTAACCGGTATACTGGATCGCCATTGTCTGTGAAAGCAGCCAAGCCCATTTTTGGAGGTTGGTAGCACACACATACAAAAAAATAAATGAGATCCCTAATGAAATGGGGGTGTGCGCTCATACCGAAATACCCATAAGAGCCTACCATGACCACTGCTGAAAATGGCAGCAAGTCATCTGTGCTTGGTTTGTACGATCGCTAGGTCGTGATTGGTGACTGTAGGCTATCAACGCCATCACGAAATTTCGGGAGATTTCGTCCGAAATCCACTGTGGCAGCATAAAGGACACTCATTAAAATTCTTTCGCTGCCACTCAGTGGCAGCTGATAAAATGAAGGCTGACAGTGAGTGACAGAATAAGTGCTAGAGATTCTGTTAGCAAACAGCAGCCGGAGTCGAGCACACAATGTGGCCACAGAGTATGTCTGCTACATCGCAAATGTTGGTGGTCAAAAAAACTCAACCTCTTATTTCCTTAACAAGCAGTGTTTGCGTCCGGCTCGAACGAGAGCGATAACCCCAATGACTAACGAACCAATATACCGCTGTATCCGGAAATGACTTAGACTTTGTGAGGCCATGCGGGCTTTGTCGGTGCGCACCGTAACGTATTCATCGATGAGTTGACCGGAAGATGGGAGATCGCCACTATGACTAATGGACCGCCTAACTACTGCGATCGGGTGTATGGTGACAGTGATTATCGGTGGCACATCAGCTCCTTTCTTCAGCAGCACTCTGCATTTCGGAGGTGCAGAGCATACAATCTGGAACCTGCATTGCTCTGTAACAGTCTACCTGGTAAAGCTTGTATACGAGCTATGCTCGAATATGAATTTTAACTCGAACTTTACAGCCCGCGTACTCTAGCTTTGATCATTGATCCCGTGACGGAATTTCCAGTTCAATAGATAGATATCAGGACAAAGGTATGCCTAATTATTTCGACCACAAAATTGCAGAGGAAGGGAGAGATAAGGAAACCCTAGCACAGCAGATCTGCGTTAAGTGGCAGCTTCCCGTGAGTAGGGGCAAAAGTTCGGAACCGGGTACGTGTCACTGAATCGCAGGTAGTTTCCGGTGTAAGAACTATTGTCATGATAATGTACATGTTAAATCTCTCTGGTAGGAGAACTCGCACGTACAGAATTAGAAGTAGACTTA